AATACTTTGTTACGTGAGAAGTGCTTTTGATTTCATTTATGTACGATGTTCTTGATGCCTCATTCTATTATTCCGCCTCATGCATCCTTTCTGCATTCTCGCTCTAGCTTGAAAAAAAAAGAACTCTAGAAGAAATAAAAATTAGCATCAATTTTCTTTCTTTTGCAGAAATTAAGATCTGTCATTCCAGCTTCGGAATATGGGAAATCGTCACACATTATTTTTGGCTTCGGATACTACAGCTACGACTTCAAGGACTCTTACAACACTCTGAAGGCGACGGTGACAAAACTGACTTCGTGAGTACCCCATCGCTCTAGATATGGCATAAAGGCCGCGATATACTGCGGAGATATGATTTCCCCATTGCTATTTACCGCGTTCTCACGGGAGGTTCGCAGAGGTGTAGAATGAGACGAGTTGGGTATACGAGATAATGAAGGGTACCTTAGTTACCCGCGCTTCGCTGATGACATTGAATTGCTGAGTAACTCTGGCGATAAATTTCAATTCATGATTACTGAATTAGACAAGGTGAGCAGAAATATGGGTCCTAAAATTAATCTGCAGGTAACGAAAGTAATATACAACAATCTCGTAAAAGAACAGCGCTTCGGGAGGGGTAGCAGTGTGCTGGAAGTTGTAAAAGACTGCGTCTAATTCGAACAGGTAGTAACCGTCGAGCCGAATGACGAGATCGAAGTAACTAGAAGAATAAGCGACTGCCATGAATTGCAAAAATCTAGGGTCCATGGCCAAAAGAAAAGCTACAAGCTACTGAAGCGTGTGAAGTCGTTCACTTTCTGGAGCAATCAGAAATAGCTCAAAAGTACTAAACAAAAAAAATGTATTATTGCCACTGTTAACCAGTATGTTTCAAAAAATATTTTCGTGCTTCACTAAGATATTTTTGGAAAATCGTTTCTGAAAACAGTTCAGTACTTAAGCGACAAGATCACCTTAGACATTTTATTGAACTTTCATGTTTTGTGTGGACACTTAAACTGGCATAATTACTTGTGTTTTTACAAACTCTGTGAGGTGTGGACACATTTCTCTGTAGTGTGGACACGTTTTTGTGTGGTGTGAACACTCAGTATTGAAAAGCGTGGACTATTTGGGTAAGCGTTTTGCTATGTACATATGTATAGCCTTGTGTTTGCTACAAAATGTGCGACGTCGTCTTTTGTGCATGAGGAGTAGCTGGCGCCACTCATTGGCACCAACCTCTCGTTGCATACATTTTATAAAAAAAGAGGTGGAGCACATTCGAGAAGGAACCTTTATTGACAAATAGTAGATTGCCATTATTCAGCAAGACGAGTGTATAAAAGACCACCGTCTTACCGGTACCTACCTATGCAGCAAAAAACTTGTGAGAATACTGGAAATAGGCATATATTTATATATAAGGCCGTGGCGCGGTCAAAACGTTAGTCATGACGTGCTTTCCCGCTTCTTTGACGCTACGTACAGTATTATATATATATATATATATATATATATATATATTATATATATATATATATATATATTATATATATATATATATATATATATATATATATATTGCTACGTGGTATGCTATATTGCTATCTTTACTGGTAGCGTGCCAACCCTAAGATCACGAAAGACACTGTGGGAATTTTCATCATGTTCCGTTTATGAATGAATGGTTGCAATGGTTGAACTGCGCAATATCACTAGCTTATGAAAAGAACTACAGAGGGCGTTGTGGTGCAGTGTAAGCTTGAGTGCGCGAACACGAAACACCGTAGCCTGCTTATCCCAAAGTCTGTGACCTATAGTAAGATTATATGAAACATCTTTTTTCGCCGATGTAGATAGCGCCGCAATTGATGTCTCATAAGGTTTTCTCACGTTGTCGCAGGGATGACGTGACCGTGGTAGTTATTATTACGTGCGTGTTGACGGTGCGCAGCCTGTCAACCTGCAAGGCAATGCCTGCAAGTGCCTGGGATCCAAAAAACAATATGATGTCATCGATGGTAAGTGAGCCTCTGTCCTGGGCACTGTCTGTCCCCTTCCCCCCATAAGCATGAAATATTCCACTGAGAACAACATCGCCAATGAGGATTACATGCCTGTGAGAAGTTTGTCGATCATCAGAAACCAACGGCGCACACATCAAAAGCATATAGAAAGAGAGGAACAGCTGCCGTAGCACTAAAAACGTCTCAAATATTTGCATTATTGTTTTTTTTGCCATTGTGCGTGCAAAAAGAAGTAGTATTTTTGTTTGCTTTCTAGCAGTCTTGGTGTAATTTAGCGCTGAGTTCCTTACAAGTGAAGAATTGAGACGTTCCTGTTTTTATTGCGAAATACAAGTACACTATATCAAATTTTTCCACTCGTGGAGTGTGTTACAAGACAGAACACTGCATTTAGACAAATCCTTGCACCACCTATCGTTCATGGTGGCTGAACGATCATAGTGCCGGAGTTCCAGTGAGTATTGCAGGAAACTGAATGATCTAGACAGACCTAAAGACGGGGTTTGTTGCGAGCGCGATGACCAGCTTAGTGAGTTCGAAGGGTTATTCAGGAGGCCATTAGGAGATTTGTATAAGTGTGACGAGTCAGGCAATGCTATCAGCATTGGTCATGAAGCATGCAATATCTGTTGCAGCAATAATTATGGGGCCCTTCGTTTTTTCGCATAAATATAGATAACAATGCATGTGACAAAAAAAGATGCACCAATGGAAGTATTGTTCAATCATTGATGATGCAACTAGGTTTTTTGTTTTCAGCATGAAACTGTTTATCAGCATGAAAGCATGGTGATTCAATTCGCTAATGAGCAGTTACGTGCTAGAATTTTTACGCCGTTTCAGCATGTGACACATCGTCGTTTTGGTAGTGCTACTTCGACATACAGCAGTTTCGCAGGGTCTTACACTGCCAGTGCAGCAGCAGCTACTGACAAAACTATTTAAACGCCACATAAAGGCTACAACATCTACAGGCGAATATCATGCAATACATGCATCAGTGGAGTGAGAATCATGCCAGTAAAAAATTGAAACGCCTAACCACGTTCATTGTTCAATCTAGGAACTCTTTGTCTTTTGTGTTCGTGAAGCACTTTGTGGTGCATATAGACACAGGCATAGCTTCCTGTGTAATTTGGGAGGGCACCCGCTGGCGTTTCTGTTCTCAAGTGAAGACGTTTTGAGCTAGCTTATATTGAGCATCCGTGTTTATCATGCACTTATGGATGTCATCTTTGCGCGGAATTTAACAGACGATGCTAACTACTTCAGCTGTCAGAAATGTTTATTCATGAGCATGGTCACTAGTCAACGGGATGGCGATGCGCCACAATGCGTCAACGTTGGTGCATCCTCGTTAAACAGTGCAATAGCTGCCTTAAAACTACAGGCACTGTGCAATCTAACCTATATCAATGAACAACAAAGCACCAACTAGCACTGGGAAGACATGGCTCCGTTTTGTATTCTACCGACTTTTCTATTTGAGGGACAACCATGTTCTTTTATTTTTCGCGCGGAGTTGATTTCAGTTTTATATCAACAGTTACTATATAAGATATAAACAAATAGGTAGATTTGACGCGCTATCACGTTCACTGCCATAAAGGTAGTCATACGAAGCATACCGTGCCCTAACAAAAATTTATTTGTGATAATCTGCGCAAATGAACACCCCATCTCTCGATTAACACGTGTTTTCCATTCGTTCTAGTCATGCGAAGGCAGTACCACGGAACTACAAAGTGAGAAGGTAATGGCTGGCATTAACACAGCTGTCAACAGAACTTTTTTCATTACCTTTGATTCGCTGGACACAATGAAGGAAAAGGTACGACTTCTCATTATTTTGAAAATACTGCTTGCCTCGCTAACTTCAGTTTGGCTTGAGGTGGCATGCTCATACGTTTCTCTGTTTTATGAATAAAGATGAATGCAGGTAAGGTAATTTTTAAAGTTATGTTTGATTTCTTTGACCATGCGTGACAAGTGCATAGATTGGAAAGCATCAAAAATTCATCTGATCACCGATGCATAGAATCATCGCTTTGCTCTAAAGAAGTGGACTCGTTCAGCATAAATCATTTCAAAGGGGAAACTAACATCAGAAAACAAACCTATAGAGGATGTTTTCAGGCTGCTACACATCACAAAAAAAAACGCGAATGCCCAGTGCCAGACATTGTTATAATATTATATAGAGTTATACACAGAAGGATTGTGGTTTGAGTATGAGGTGTGTCGTAGTGTGATTCTCGGGAAATTTAGACCAACTGGTGGTCTTTAATTGCACTGAAATTACGCTATACACGTGTCTCTAAGAGTGCTGCTGTTTATATTTACCACTGAAAGAAAATATTTTGAGCAAATAACTTCATCGGAAATTGTATATTCAATGAAGCATGACTGTTCGCTCAAGCCCCATGATAAAATATACGCTAGTGTCACCGTAGGAATGAATAAATGAAAGCGATAGGAACAAATTGTATATTTCATATATACAAAGCGATAGATTATCTCTAAAGAAGCAATCGCGATATTTTTGTCAACATTATATTAGGAGATACATGAGTTAAAATAAGAAAGACAACCAGAAACCGCTAATACCCTTTTTATGGCTGTGAGATGTCACGTTGATTGTCACGATAAGTTAAACGCACTGAACTCGAAAATCACAACTAACCAATGATGACTTCATGACGACCACCTGAAATAACCTCAGTTAAAATGATTCGACTTTCTATCATAACCACGTTTAGAATCAAGAAAAAGAGGGCTTTAAAAGCGGTCTCAGTTCGAATAACTGTATATGCTTCCGACGCAGAGACAGCATTCTTTCAAGCATGCCGCGACGTAAAAGCTTCGGCAAAGGACTTAAAAATTGTGCACATTCTCTGTTACAGAAGAATACGATCCCCATGAAGACTACATCGTTCGCTACCAACGCGAAAATAGTTGCTTTCGCATTCCAAATGGGCGTGTTGAATTACCATATGCCCGTAAGGTTTATGAAGCCGGAGTACGCGGCGTATCAACGTTGTACCCGTTTTGCCATAGGCAGCATGCCAGAGGTAAGGGTGTGCTACTTAGCATACGGTTTCTGTAAGTCACTGCTGCGGGTGAACCTGCACGAGAAAATTTGATTTGCGCACCGTAATGTGTATGTACAAAAGTGTAGCAAATGCAAGGCGCAGGAAAGCCTATCGTTTAAGTCTGGTATTTCGATACACTTGGGCTTCCACTGCAAGTTAGCAACCCTAACACAAATTGCTCATTCTTGTGCCCGCATAGTACAGTGCCCGCACCAAATTTTCGTCATACTCTCGACAATGTTGATCGAAATGTGGGGTTTAACGTCCCTAAACCACCGTATGATTATGAGAGACGCTGTAGTGGAGGGCTCCAGAAATTTCGACCACTTGGGTTCTTTAACAGGCACCCAAATATGAGCACACGGGCCTACAGCAATTTCGCCTCCATCGAAAATGCAGCCTCCGAAGCCGGGATTGGAACCCGCGACCTGCGGGTCAGCAGCCGAGTACATTAGCCACCAGACCACCACGGCGGGGCGACTCTTGACAATGTAAAAGTATACATGTGAGAAATATACGTGTATACATGAGAAGTATACATATAAAGTATACATGTGTATACATGTATACAAGTATACATGAGAAGTATACATATAAAGTATACATGTGTATACATGTGCCTGAACAGTTATGGCCACGCACACCCATGAATGTAAAACATTTACAGGCGGCACTGCCATATTTTTGGAAGTACAGATAACTTATTTTGTGTTCTTTATTTTACCGCAATCGTGAAAAGCCTTTTGTGGATAGTTGGCGTTAGTGTCGCCTTGCTTTGTTTTGATTTATCCATGTTGTTTCGCACTATATTCTTTCCTAAGCCTTCGTTACCAACTCAACTATCTGCTGGTAATTGTGCCCCGTGATTCGAAGCCTTCCTATGTTATCCATATTCATACCTTTGACTACTCGTTCTTACGTTCGAGTACTCATCCACTGGTGTTAACATTTGTTTTTCACACTAGCACTAGGCGAAGTAACACTGACAAGCAACATTAATAGGAAACTAAATTATGTACCTATAACGCTAATATAGTCACACAGGACGATGCCAAACTTGTATTCCATGCAGTCACATTATCACATATAAATGCATCTGCGTAGACAACACTCGAGTGCTTCGTAAATGTGAATACCTGCGATGTGCTCTAACATGACGAAGAAGCCCCGAAAACAACGGACGAGGCCTTCTGTAAGGTGGGAAACATTGGCAAGATGGAGTTGCTTTGAGTATGTAATCAGAGAGCTCTTCCAAAAAGGGTCCTAATGTTATGCTGGTACGTATACAGTGTCTAATATTGTGCTTGCGCATACACCAATGTTACGCGTGCACATTCCCCGTAATATTAGGCCTCCAGAACACTGTCCTAAAGATCAATTCAACAGCAGTGGCTAAGAGTGGCGCCCTTACCGATTACGTAACCTTATGCAATATTCTATCCAGAAAAAAGAAAGGAAGTGATATAAAAAAAGCCTTTTGCTTTAAAATGGTGGTCTACCTACCTCACTGCAGTCCCGCTTCTTGTATGACAAGTTGTCCGATCCTGAAATAATACTGAAGTGCAGCAACTGAAGCATGTAGGCAAATAATCTTGTATGCTTGATTCTGTGCGCGCCTGTCGTAAGCAGCACTTATGTAGCTAAACACCAAAAAGCTATCATGTCCCAATCCAGCAATTTGCGTGTCATTGGCTCTTGCAATAAACCTTACAATTGCACTCTTAACTGTTACTGTTGAGGTTTACAGTACAGACAAAAAAGCAATGCTTATGACTTTTTTGTTGAAGGACAAGCATCGAAGACGGTTAAGTTCGCACAATAGGTCTTAACATTAGTACGTACGCTCGGAAGATAGTCGGTAATTTTTCAAACCGCTCGACTGGCAGCGTCAGACATGTTCACCGCGCTGCTGCTACCACGCCAAGAACAGTCATGTTTCGTGTTGAGATGAGTCCTTCATCGACTCACAATTTTTCATTTCAAAGGATGGACATGGCTTCTGGAACTGAAGCTTGAGAGTGCATGATGAAGGCTAGAAAGATGACATCTGTGGTCGGTGGAACAAAACGCGAATGTCTTTCCGTTTTGTCTCATGTTTGCAACAAGCTCAGCACTCATGCAGGTACAGGGGGACGATGAATTATTTCTAGGCCACTATCCCATGTATTTTTATGAGAGCATGGCATGGGAGCTTTTGACCCCCCCCATCCATCCATTGGCAGTGCTGTCGCAAGTAATGCTCGCTTATAATTTAGAAGGCAAGTTATGGGGTGCGACTTCCTGCGTATTATCAAGTTTAGACTGGGCTATAGAGATTTCCTAATTGTACTCTAGAAGAAAATTCGGTGTTATTTTCTATGGAAGCTTCAACGTACGGGGCTTCAATCATCACCCGAGAGATGGGTAGCACACGGATTTGTCTAACCTTCGTTCTTTGATCTTGGCGTTCCAGCGCGTGGCCTTCAGCCACTTTGTCTCAAAACGAAGTTCAGAAATAGGTCAGCAGTCTCTCTTCATCACCTTCAAATATTTAGGTCCATCATTTCAAATCGGTACATGAAGTTGACAGCGATCCACTGTTTTGTTCGAAAAAAAAAATATGCCTAACACAACAAATAAAGCTGCAAGTGTGTTCAAAGACAAGATCACAGCATTTAGACAAATCTTTGAACCACCTATCGTTCATGGTGGCTGAACGATCATAGTGTCAGAGTTCCAGTAAGTATTGCAGGAAACTGAAAGGTCTAGACAGACGTAAAGACGGGGTTTGTTGCGAGTGCAACGACCAGCTTAGTGAGTTCGAAAGGTTATTCAGGAGGCCGTTAGGGGATTTATGTGAGTGTGACGAGTCAGGCAATGTTATCTACATTGGTCATGGAGCATGCGATATCTCTTGTAGCAATGATTATGAGGACCTTCGTTTTTTCCGCATAAATATAGATAACAGAGTATCTGACAAAAAAAGATGCACCAATGTAAATATTGTTCAAGCATTGATGATGCAACTAGGTTTTTTTTTCAGCATGAAACTGTTTATCAGCACGAAAGCGTGGTGATTCATTTCGCTAATGAGACAGTTACGTGCTTGGATTTTCACGTCGTTTCAGCGTGTGATGCCTCATCGTTTGCGTAGTGCAACTTCCATATGCAGCAGCTTCACAGGGTCTTACACTGCCAGTGCAGCAGTAGCGACTGACAAAACTGTTTAAGCAAGCGTCACATAAAGGCTACGGCGTCTGCAGGCAAATATCATGCAAGATATGTATCAGTGGAGTGAGAACCATGTAAGAAAAATTGTAACGCCTAACTACGTTCAGGGTTCAATCTAGGAACTCTGTCTTTCGTGTTGGTGAAGCACTTTGTGGTACACATAGGCACAGGCATAGCTTCCTGTGTAATCAGGTGAGGGCACCTGATGGCGTTTCTGTTCTCCGATGATGACGTTTTGAGCTAGCTTATATTGATCGTCCATGTTTATCTTGCACTTATGGATGTCATCTTTGCGCGGAATTGAACAGACGATGCTAACTACTTCAGCTGCCAGAAATGGTTATTCATGAGCATGGTCACTGGTCATCAGGATGGCGATGCGCCACAATGCGTCAACGTTGGCGCATCCACGTTAACCGGTCCAATAGCTGCCATAAAACTACAGGCACTGTGCAATCTAACCTATATCAATGAACAACAAAGCACCAACTAGCACTGGGACGACATGGTTCCGTTTTGTATTCTACCGACTTTTCTATTTGAGGGACAACCATGTTCTTTTATTTTTCGCGCGTAGTTGATTTCGTTTTATAGCAGCAGTTACTATATAAGATATAAACAAATAGGTAGATTTGACGCGCTATCACGTTCACTGCCATAAAGGTAGTCATACGAAGCATACCGTGCGCTAACAAAAAATTATTTGTGATAATCTGCGCAAATGAACACCCCAGCTTTCGATTTACACGTGTTTTTCATTCGTTCTAGTCATGCGAAGGCAGTACCACGAAACTACAAAGTGAGAAGGTAATGGCTGGCATTAATACAGCTGTCAACAGAACTTTTTTCATTACCTTTGATTCGCTGGACACAATGAAGGAAAAGGTAAGACTTCTCATATTTTGATAATACTGCTTGCCTCGCTAACTTTAGTTTGACTTGAGGTGGACATCCTCATACGTTTCTTTGTTTTATAAATAAAGATGACTGCAGGTAAGGTAATTTTTGAAGTTACATTTGATTTCATTGACCATGCTTGACAAGTGCATAGATTGGAAAGTATCAAAAATTCATCTGATCACCGATGCATAGAATCATCGTTTCGCTCTAAAGATTTGGGCTCGTTTAGCATAAATAATTTCAAAGGGGAAACTAACAACACAAAACAAACCTATAGAGGATGTTTTCAGGCTGATACACGTCACAAAAGAAACGCGAATGCTCAGTGCCAGACATTGTTACAATATTATATAAAGTTATACACGGAAGGACTGTGGTTTGAGTATGAGGTGTGTCGTAGTGTGGCTCTCGGGAAATTTAGACCCACTGGTGGTCTTTAATTGCACTGAAATTACGCTATACACGCGTCTCTAAGAGCGCTACAGTTCATATTTACCACTGAAAGAAAATATTTTAAGCAAATACCTTCATCGAAAATTTTATATCTCAGCATGACTGTTCGCTCAAGCCCAATGATAAAATATACGCTAGTGTCACTGTAGGAATGAATAAATGCAAGCGATAGGAACAAATTGTATTGTTCATATACACAAAGCGAGAGATTACCTTTATAATAGTAATCGCGATATTTATGTCACCATTATATTAGGAGCCACATGAGTTAAAATCAGAAAGACAACCAGAAACCGTTAATACCCTTTTTATGGCTGTGAGATGTCACGTTGATTGTCACGATAAGTTAAACTCAGTGAACTGGTTTGGCACAACAATAAACTACAACCCAGAATATGTACCTGTGGTGCTCTTGTGAAATAAATGTTTACACGCAAATGAAAGATAGAGAAGATGTGATTTATTTCATGGTCAGGGATGAAAGCACAGTGGACAAATTTATTCTGCTTGTGTACAAAGTATGCCCTACCACTCACAGCCGTGTAAATAATCATGACGCACCTTTTTTGTCCTAAACAGCACTCCCATATAATAAAACAAAGCCTACAAAGATGAAGTTGGCTCTCCCCATTGGGCTCGAAGAATGAGAATGTGTCTAAGTACATCGCCCAGTTGATGATTTGAATCACTGTCGAAGCACATTTTCTTATCTCAAAATCAGTGCCTCTAAGAACAAAAGAGATGATGTTGGGTGTGATGGAACTAGCTAGGTGATTCAGAGATTAAGACATCTACTCTATATCATTGTAAGTGTCCATATTTCTGAATTGCAATGCTCAGCAGTAATGAACTCATCGTGTCTGACTGATTGCCGAGTCATTTGTTTTTCAAGCAATTATTGAGCTCTTCTTAATCTTCTTTTGCAGGCTGATTTAGTTATGAGTAGCAAGGACAGAAAACACAAATTCACTTGGTTTCTCTTCAATGTGCACTTGACGGACGTCACCAATGTTTGCTTCACACCAAAGCCAGGAGTAGCTCCCAGTACGGAGATGCAACGCTTGAAAAAATTCAGAGAGTTCTACTACGCAGAGAGCCAGAAGTACATATCTGGATGAACAAGCGAAACGGTGGCCACCGATTATTTGCGTGAAACATGCAGCCCGAGTTGTTTGTTTTTTCTTTTTTCATGGGGAGGGGGGGGTCGCATGAATCTATTCTCATTCTCACAAAGAGAATCATACAATGGCGTTGTACGCGGGTCTCTGAAATAGTTTGGTTACGTTAATTGAAATAGTTGCCACACAGCCTAAGCAGCTGTTGAGTGCACTGTCTGTGATAGCTGCAGACATATCTCCTCTTTGTGGTTTAGAGGATATATATGTGTACGCCTCTTCGTGGTGCAGCACTGCTGCACAGTATCGAAGGAGCAAGTAATATACGAAGGCATCTGGCAAAGTGTTATCTGTATGTGCATTTCATACACATGAAACAATGTATCGGGCGCATCAAATAAAAGATACTTATGCGTCAACATGACAGAACGATTAGGTTTAAGGGTGGGCTGTTTCCCCCTTTATTGTGAATACTGCAGTCATAGAGATAAAAGTGCAAAAGATGTCATTTATGTTTCGGGAAGAGCCCTTTAGCGGCGAACGGCAATGGTTTGGCACATCCGAATTCGTGGAGCAGAGTCACACAGAAACGCTTTCTCCTTGTTGACGAAAACATGTGAGCGGTCCTTGGCGTACAGCCGACAATGTGTTTCCTTCATATCTTGTTTTTAAAAAGAAAGTATACGTCTTTGCCACGGTTCCCCAAAACATAACTAACATGTTTCAGTCACTGATATGACGAGAATAAAATGAACGCTATCATCTCTAAGAGACATTTTGATAGAAAAACAATTGGCCCTGTGTCTGCACGTTTCACTGCAAATTTCGTCGAAAGACGATAGTTTTGCGCCTGCAGAGAGTGAACGAAACGTTTATTTGATGCTCTGCGCTAGAAAATTAGGGAATTCTGTTCTAGAGGAGCTACGTTAGAGTGTCTCTCTCCATGCAGCGAAGGCACTTTAGCCACGAGCGCTATATGGCAGGTATCTTCGAAAACGAAGGAAGGCGTGCCCGCCTGTCTCGGAGGCGATAAGGTGTAGAACGCGAAGCGACGGGAAGGTGTCACCACCATGTCGTCTTAGCGAAGCGTTGGAAACACTTGCCTTTTTGAGCATAGCGTTGCATAGTCAGCGCAGCGTAATAAACGCTACGGTATTTTGAATTACTTATTGTGCCTTCCCTAGTATAAAGACGCACGATACAGAATATTGACTTGTTGTTATAGTGCCTCGCATATGCGCAATAATTGATTTTTAATTGACAATCTCACAAGTATGAACGCCTAAACTTGAGCAATATTGGTTGGTGCTGCGGATGGGGTTGGCCGTTGAGGTTATCGTTACGATGGTCAAACAGGCAGACAGACAGACAGACCAATAATTTTAAAATTAAAAACCGGACTGGGAATAAAATCTACGACTCCTCGGGCAGCGATGGTATGCGCGCGACGCTCTGCTAACTAGGGTATCGCAACAGGTCAAGGGCATCCTACGAACGCGCCTTGTATGGCTCAGACGGTCCTTCTCGCAAGGTTCTGTCTGTTAGTGGGGCAGGGTGGTGCTGTCGCCTGTCTGTGAGCGATGATGAGAAGTAATGCGGCATACACCTAATGGGGTCAATAGAGACCATTCGTGGACGATGCAGTTAAAACATGGCTCCCTAGAATGCGTGCCGGCAAGCAATCATGCGATCGTTTAAGCATGGCGATAGCAGCGAAGAACCCCCGACGCACTGGCGTTGGGGGGCTCTGTTTCGGCGCAGATATGGTCTTTGCCTTTCCCTTCGTGTAAACTTGTTACGGCTCGTTCTCGAAGTAGTGCCACGTTCACGTGCACCAACGGTGTTTCACCACCGTTTACTTCGAGTGCGAAAGCGCAGACCAATCAAAATCCTGCTGTAAGTGGTGCAGGATGGCAATGATGTCGGCGGGAGAATAGCGTACCTAGGTGGAACGAAACAGGGGCTCACAGGACGTCGAACGTCTGCGGGTGTTCGTGGCTCAAGCTACGAATCTCTACCTCCCGTAATACTGTGGCGCATTGGGCTAGTGTGTGCATGAGCACAGGTGTAGGTTACACAATTACTCGAGAGTGCTCAGTATTACCCAACACATGTAATTAGATTGCTAAAACAAGTGATTGGTGAAGGCGAAAAAACTGTAGACACCAGGCCGATCCAAGTGAATTTTAAAACACGCACACAAAAAAAGAACGACGTTTTGGCTTCAACAAGGGAGCCTCTTCACGAGTAAAATGCGAACATGTGAGCGAGAAGATAGCGTCATATAGGCTTTAATATGTCACGCAGGCAGTGCGTATACACTGATGCTGTTAAATGTCATCGTTCCCCCTGTACAGTACTGCATGCCTAGCAGTACAGAGGCCGCTGGCGTATGCAGAATTACATGGCGCGACGCGCGAATTTTTAAGAGCATGCTCGTGCATATATAAAAAAATAAGCAAATAATAGCACATTAGTTAGAATTAGTAAGAAGGAAACCGGGCAGGGTGATTGCCTGCAAATTTTGCAAGGCTGTAGATCCGCCGGCTAACAAACAATGTCCTAATCCTAACCCTAGACCACCTGGGGTTCTTTAACGTGCACCCAAATCTGAGCACACGGGCCTACAACATTTCCGCCTCCATCGGAAATGCAGCCGCCGCAGCCGGGATTCGAACCCGCGCCCTGCGGGTCAGCAGCCGAGTACCTTAGCCACTAGACCACCGCGGCGGGGCTAATCCTAACCCTAAATCATCGTTCTTGTTGAGAGTGCGTGCGTTTGTATTATGAATAACCCAAGATAAAAGTCATCGCGAGTTCTTTTTCTTTTTAACAAGAGCACCTGTCTTCTCCCCGTCGTTTAAGTGTCTCCCTGAATCACGCTCTGAGAAGACACCGAAATAAATATTTGCCGGCTTCACGTCATCGTTGTGCTGCTTGAGAAGCCTTTAAAAGCAACCATTCTTATCAATATACACGTTGTGAGAGTCCTGGTGCGGGAGAACGTACACCACTCCAGGAAACTTTGGGCAATTTGTCCTTCCCACGGACGAGTCACTGTCACTGTTTTTGGCCTGGAACATGTATCACATTGTCTCTGTAGGAACGTAGAACGTGGCTGAAGGCTGAGGTAATAAAAAGATATAGGGTATTCTCGCGCGCTCTCCAGCAAAGGCATTACAAGGCATGTGCGGACGTGCCATTTGTTAGTCGACGGCGTTCAAGAATTTGAGATAGCCACAGGCTCACAATTCATGCCGAACCAAGCTTACGTCGGGGGCGTATAGTCTTCCTGCCATGTACAGCTTTTCTGCGCGCGTCGTAGAAGTGCCTACGGCTTGTTACTTTCACCATGCATCATTCCGACCAGACGGGCATCCATCAAATTTTAAACTTCAGCAGAAGTGATGGATCATGCTTTTGCCACGAGGTGTTTGTTTCCAGCAGAATAATGCGTGCTTGCACGAAAATGTCACTTAAGCTCATAGGGCAAAGCAACGAATGTGATAAACAATTTAGGACGTCACACGATGAACGGGAAACAGCTCGATACTTGCGGAGCTTTGCTCAAGTGAAAAGAACACACACACACACACACACACACACGCACACACACACGCACACGCACACGCACACGCACACGCACACACACACACACACACACACGCACACACGCACACACACACACATACACACACACACACGCGCGCGCGCGCGCGCAGGACAGTGATTTATTTGCCATCACAGCTCAACTCCCCCACCACGCTGTTCAAAAAGTATGATTGAAGCTAGAGTGTAGGTATACAATAGACAGATACGAAGGACCGCAAATATCTCTCTCCAGACGCAAGACGAACGTTTTGCATCTGGAGACAGTGAACAAAACGTTCATTTGATGTTCTGCGCAAGAAAATCGGTGAATGGTATTCTGGAAGCGCTGTGTGTGTGAGTACCTCGAGCGTGCAGCGAGGGCGAACGAGTGCATATAGCCACGTCACGCGTGAGACATGAGCGCTATCTGGCAGTTATCTTGGAAAACGGGGCGCGCGCCGTGCGCGCTCGTCTTTGAGAAGGCGTAGAACGCAATGCGACGGGTAGCAGCCACCACCGTGACGGCTCAGCAAAACGTTGGAAACACTTGCCGTTTCGTGCAAGCGTTGCATGGCTAGCGCAGAGTTATAAAGGCTACTATCCCTAAAATGACTTATGTATGCCTTTTCTAGTAAAAAATTCCGCCATATCCACGAAGTGAATGATGATGAGTGGGCGAAGCTCCGGAGGTAAACCTGGTAAACCATGAATCCTCTGTACATTTTGCCCACTCGATTTTATTACATCGCTCCCCCTAGCGTACGTCGCCGCACTAAATCGAACGATTGCCTTCAACCAATGACACGCGCCATATGTGACATCATTCCTATTTGAGAAGCATTTAAAAGCAACCATTCCTGTCAATATACATGTTGTGAGAATCCTGGTGCGGTAAAACGTACACCACACCGGGGATCTCGCGTCTTTCATCAACTACCAGTACCGCTTTCTAGTTTATAACATCTTGCATCTTTTCATCATCAGCTACAAGTACCACCATCCAGTAAACACTACAAGAACTAAACGAGAGGTGGCTACATACAGGAGACGGTACCGCCATCTAGTGAACACTGCAAGAACTAAACTAGAGGTGGCTACATACAGGGGACGGTACCGCCATCTAGTGAACACTGCAAGAACTAAACTAGAGGTGGCTTCATACAGGCTACAGGGGACACACAGCCCACGCCCTAAGGAGCTTCGCCCCTAAAAAATACACATACATAATATTGACTTGTTGTAGTGGTGCCTCAGATATGCGAAATAATTGCTTTTTATTTGACAATCGCAGAAGTATGGACGCTAAACGTTGAGCAATATTGGTGGGCACTGCGATCTGTTTCGGCTGTTTAGAGTATCGTTTGGTCATTGCGGTGCCGCTTAGGGTACCGTTAAGGGTGGGCAAACAGGCAATTGTACAGAGAGACAGACATATCAATTTTTTTGCGTTGAAGGTCCCCAAAAAAGACTATCTTTTCTGAAACTAACAACTATCGCATTTTTAATTTCACCGTTTTTTTTTTTTGGTGAGCTGCGAGCGTCTATGGCACCGGAACGTCCTTGTTGAGCACTGCGGATCGTGGTGACCCCTCTGCAATGCTGCTGCGCGTGGTGTTCGAAAAATTGCCAGGTGTTCCACATCGTG